TAATTGCGGTCAGATACATTCAGGAAAGTGCTAGCCTGAGCACAGAATGGATTCCTGGCCGCCTCTCACGGCAAGGAGGTGGGCTGTCAGAAAGGGCCTCTTCTTTATTAAGAAAGGAAGGAAAAAAACTTGTTCATCCAGGCTTTGATGTATGTGGAGTCAGATACGTTCTCCAAGTGCTAGCAGCTCGTGTCACTGTAACAGTTTTTTTTTTTGTTTTTTTTTTTTCGCTTTTCCCATTTTTGTTTTCCTCCCCTCAGAACCGTGATGATTGTGCTTGTGTCAGTTCGTACACCCATAGACTCTTGAAATACAGACCAAGGTTCGACTCCCGATGCAACCAATGAACTTACCATAGGGTGTTCAATCTCGACGTGGAGTTGTTGAACGGCCTCTGGTAAGTTCGTTGATTGCACCTGGAGTCAAACTTGGGCCTGTATTTATTTCAACAGTTCATGGGTGTGCAAACTGACACGAGCAATAGGTACCAAAAAGAGAAAAGGAACAAAAGGAAAAAAAAAATCTATCACGGACCTGCATCTGTATGTGGCGCTATTCCAAGCCCAGACGCATCTGTGCCCGTTTTCCCTAAAAGTGGGAAAGAAACTGAGGTGGCGCCCGTTGAAACAGGCGCCTGCCTCGTTTCTTTTTTTTTTTTTTTTTTTTTTTGAGAGAAACAACAATTTATATTATCAGGAAAACGCAAACAACCCGGTGAATAGTTCCTGGAACCATTACCCAGACTTAACTCTTGGAGACCAGGTCCAAGTTCCCCTGACTTATGACTCTCAAAAATGAAAAAAAGGTAAGGCATTTCCTTCTGCAGCACAGCCTAGCTCTAGTCATCTCTCGAATATAGGGTGTTCCCCTGACTACTGGCCCCCTTCTGACCTATGGGGGGTGGCTAACTCGCTCCCCAAAACCCAAAGGTGAAAGAAGCCAGGGACAAAGTTGCAGTCTGCCTTTCATGTCCAACTTAGCCAGGTATCCCTTCCCCATGTTTCAAGAAACCATTTTCTTGATGAGACTGTGCCCTGTGAATTCCTGCAGTGTCTGAACCAATCGCTGAAGATAATGTGTCTTATATGTTGGGTAATCCTCATCTTGATCTCTGAGTCCGACATGTACTCCTTCCGAAAGAGTTGGCTGTTACGGTCATCCCATATCAGCTTCATAATAACCCCTCTGATCATCTGTGCCACATACAGCCAATTCTTTTCCTCTGTCCTGTCAATCCACTCATCTGACCAATCGAACTGGTTTTTAGTAACCTGTTTCCAGTGCTTGATGAACCAGTTCCATATCCTTCTTGAGGCTGGACAAGTTAGCCAAAGGTGTCGGTTGTTCTCCCATATCCATTGACAACGAACACATTTCTCAGAGATCTGCATACCTCTCGAAGTCAGATTGACAGCCGAGGCAGTTGCCGAGAATAACTGTATCCATAACAAGCTTGCCAGTTTTTGAGATGGAAGACTTCGAAGTTGCTGGCATATCGATTGAATCTGAATTGAGGAGAGGGCCAATAGATCGTGTTCTTGTCTCCTCCTAATTATTGCTTGACTCGGCGGGCTTTTGGCTTTGAACCTCAGCTGTTCATTGAACTTCATTCCCTATTTTAGAGGTATATTCATTCAGTGACACAAAATTATTACCTGACATCCAGCCAACCGTTCTAAAGTCTACACCAGCATCCCTAATCTTAATGGTTCCCATAGGGAGACTCACAATGTAGATCAGAGTTCCTCCCGCCTGAGCTCTCTTCGCTGTTCTTTTAACAGCTATCTCTGATAGACCCTGTAATGATTCCAACCGAACTGCGGATGAAAAGGACAGCTCTTTCGAGTAGCCGAAGTCATCTGGCATAACCCATTTTTTAGCTGCAAAGCCTTTTGTGCCTAGGTCATCTGTTACATGGTAGACTACCTTAGATGAAGTTTGTTCATCAATGCACCATAGCCTGTCGTTAGGAATCTGGTTTTCAACCAGTAACTGTTTCCACGACCACGGAATTGCATTGATCAAACTGTGCAGTCAGTCTCCTATCTTTTGCAGCTGACCCAGTTTCCTTCTAAGTTGCTGTTCTGTGTTCCAGGTCCTCCTATCCTCATCCCAGATATCCTTAATCCTGACAACTCCCTGTTCGACCCAGGCTTTCCCAAACAGCCCTGGTGACTCATGAACTGAGAACTCTGCCCCCCGATTATCTAATATCAACGGATTTTCAAAAATAATCTGATTGAGCACTGCTTCCTTCGTAACGGGGTGACGTCTTTCTGTGGGGAAGAACTTTTGCCAGGCTGTCAAGATGTTCCTCCAAAATGTTGACTTCGGTCGTTTGCACACATAGGACTTAATCGTAAGGCATGCCAAGACATCTTCTGTTCGACTCAGTGACCATTCCTGTACTAATATAGTCAATGCTAGACTTAGCCACGGGGGCATACCCTCTGTTAACATAGCTTTCACTACCCACTTAGCTAGGAGGGCCAAGCTATGTCTGTAGGGATCCAAAATGCCCAATCCTCCTTCTGCTCGTGGAAAGGAGACAGTGTCCCATGCTACTTTGGACATGAACCCGTCATCTTTAGTCACTTCGGGTTTCCACAGGATCTTCGCTGCTGCCCTCTTGATGTTCTTGTATGCAGAGTTGCCTAGTAAATGGACCGCCAAGGTAAACCACAATACTGAAAACCCTGCTGTCGATATAACCAAGGCCCTGCCCAGCAGTGATAGGTGCCGTGTGTGCTGCCAGCTGGCCAGTCTATTGATCACTCTCTCTTCCAAAACCATGTCTTGATGATGCATTCTCTGACAAAGACACTTGTACACCAAGAAATCGGTCTGATGCACCTGCCGGTACTGCTCCTAGTCCCCAGTTGGCATTCAATTTGAATTCTTCAGGGAGAAAATAAACCGATTTATTCCAGTTAATAGAAGCCTCATAGTAGGTACAATAGTTATTTAATACCATTCTTAATTCTCTCAGATTCAAGGTGGTGTTTCTATATGCTATTGTCAAGTCGTCCGCCAACGCTCCTCCCTTCCATTGTAATTGGTCATTCAACTTCAATCCTTCGATTCGATCATTTTGACAAATGTTATCTAGCAGGATTTCCAAATGTAGCACAAAAAGTAGGGGTGCTAGCGGGCATCCTTGTCGTAAGGAGCGAGAGAGTGAGAATTCCTTAGAAATCTACCCGTTCACCGTGACTGCAGCGGTGGCCGTTGAATACATAATTTTTACCCACTGACAAAAATTTGGGCCAAACCCCAAGTGTTTCAATGTCGTCATCACAAAAGCCCAAGCAACCCGATCATATGTTTTTTCCATGTCTAAAAGAAGAACAGCTACATCCCTTCTTTCTGCAGCTATTATCTTTAAGGCTTGGATTGTAGAGGCTATATTGTCCATGATTGATCGGTGTTTAATAAAGGCACCCTGTTCATTCCCTGTTAGCGCAGGAAGATATCTTGCCAATCAACTTGCTAGTACTTTGACCAACAACTTGTAGGAGACGTTTAGTAACGATATTGGTCTCCAGTTTCGGACATCCGATTTTTCCCCTTTCTTATAAATAAATGATATTATTCCTTTCATCATTCCTTTAGTTAATTGACCACCCGTTAGAACATTGTTATAAATTCGTAATAAGAGGGGACTGATCGTAGCCCATACTGCTAGATACATCTCAATGGGGAGCCCATCGTCCCCCGGGGTCTTCCCCTTCGCCATCCTCTTCACTGCCTGTGTCAGTTCTTCTGGGTTTATTGGCTTGTCCAAGTCAAGTCTCACCTGCGTGGGGAGTCTAGTCTTGGTCTTATTCCAAAAGTTGGTCTGCTCTCTCAAGTCTGTTTCCATTGTGTCAAATGTCCTTCTTGATGACAAGATATCTTGAAAATATAATCTTGCAAACTCGCACATTCGGTCCAAATCATCTGATATTATTGGTGTGGTTGCAAAAGGGTGCGCCAGTTCCTTCATGGGTTTTTTTGCTGTCTGTAGCATAAGCCTCCGGAAGGTGTCTTTTGTCATACGATCTCCTGTAGTTCCTGTTTTTTTTAATTTCTATCCGTTCTAGCTCCAACAGGCTGCGCTTCCTTCTAGCTCTTCAATAAGCATCGGAGATTGGGTGTTTCCCAAACTCCTTCTCCGCTTGGGCTACTATTCCCAATAGTCTTCTCTCCTTACTATTCTTGGTCATAGCTTTGATTTGAGAAATATTACTAAGTGAGCCTTGCATTATACGAAGGCCAACTTCCAACCAAACCTCCTCTGCGTCAAAAAGATACCTTGCTTGTTCCCATTGCTCAAGATGTTCCTTGATCCACTGAATTACATCAGCATCCGACATGTGTTGTGTGTTCAATTTGAAATATGATTTTCCAAATTTAACCTGGTGGGCTAATTTAAAGGAGGCAACCACCAGTAGGTGATCTGATAGCGAGGCGAAGAAAGTCTCCACCTGCGTACAGTTCGCCCAGGAGGCCCCCCTCATTAGAATAAAATCCAGTCTTCGGCGTATAGGTGGGGATTGAGAGTCATGCCACGTATAATCTGGTGTGTCCGGGTACATTACGCGAAAAGCGTCCGTCAGTCCTTGTGAGGCCAGAAAGGCGTTTAATAACCGACTATCAGTGCGAATAGGTCCTCTTTTCGGACTGTCCAAGCCTGGGTTAAGTACCGTATTCCAGTCTGCGCCTATAACCAGATTCTCTGAATCAGGCACGAAGCTCAGTAATTCTGAGAGGAAAGTTATCCTTTCTCCGTAATCAGTAGGGGTGTAAATAGACATGATGGTCCATATTTCGTTTTCTAGTAGTATCTTAATCCAGATCCACCTACCCCATACATCCATCATTTGATCAATCACTGTAATCTTTAAATCCTTATGGATGAGGATTCCAACTCCCCCTCTAGTACCTTGAGACCCAACCTCACCTCGTGCAGGAGCCCAAAAATAATGGCCCTTCCACCAAGAAGGCGTTTTTTTCATACGTGTCTCATCTAGCTTTGATTCTTGTATACACAACACGTGGATGTTCTTATTGTGAATCCAACTTTTCAGTCTGTCTCTTTTGAATTTCTTCCCTGTATCACAAAGGGCACGTAGATTCCATGTCGCGATACGCAGCTTGCCTCTAAGAGGCATTTGCTACCCCGGGGCCGTGTGTGTCATGGATACGGCTCTCGTCTTCGATATCTGTCTCCCCCTTTTTCCTTCTGCGAATTCCTTCGCTGCCCCCTGTTCCTTCTTCCCAAGGCAGTAACAAAGTATCAACGAAGGATTCTGAGAACAACACCTTTCTGTGAGCTGAGTGGAACAACCATTTTGCAATGGTTCGGGCAGAGAAATACCCTTTGAAGAGTATGCTGTCCAATCCATCGTTCAAAGGCGAGCTCAGGATTGATAGGGGAAACCAACCTTTGTCCAAGGTTTCAAGATGCTTCTTAATAGTATTGGTCATACGATCATCCAGAAAAACATAGTACATTCTTACTCTGTTCCCCAAACAATCCTGTGTTGTGTCCACTCCCACTCTCAGGGTGGAGATCAACCGAAGGCTCAGGCATGCCGGCACCAATTTCTTGACCTTTGACATTATGACTGATTCGGTAAGGGCTTCTTCCGCATACGCAGTCGGGAGTTCCATTGCTCCATTTGCAAGGAGATTGGCCATAACTAAGATTCCATGCGTTGAATTAGCTAATATTATTGGCACAAAAATTTTCGGTATGTTAGCGTCCTCTTGTCCCAACGTTGGGATCACGCCAGCCATTCCCATCATTCCTCCACCCTGATCTCTATGGAGATCGTTGTAAGCTCGATCCCCCTGTCCTACCGGGATCCATCTCTTGCCCTGCGAGGAGGAGACCTCCCCTCTTTTCTGGCCCTGTATTCTTCCCTTCGCCAGGACCCCTGCCGCCTGTTCTTCCATCAGGGAAGTACCCTCCATTCCATCCTCTTCTTCGGTTCCTTCCTCCTCGTAACTCTTCCCCTTCCTCAAGTCTCGGGAGGTGGTCGTTTTGGATTTCTCCTTTATTCTTCGCAGGCGATGGCCCCCACCTCCGTTCCCTTTTCTATTCCCTGACGTGCTCCCTTCGCTGTTATTGTCTTTAAATCTCTGCCCCTGGTTCCCCCTTTCCTCTCTCCCTGATTGATTCCTCCACCGGTTCTTCTTCTCTCCTCTTCGGGGAAATCTTCTAAAGCCGGCCACGGGGGGGGTCTCGCCAAGAGGTACGAATCCAGAGAAGGGTGGCTTCGGGGGGGTGGGTTTCTCCCCTTCTGGCGCAAAAGGATCGAATTCCGCTTCTGCCTTTACCGGACAACACTCATCAGTTTCCTTATGGTAAAAGGTCTTGCACTGTTCGCACCATGGGGTGCTGGCCGAGAGAACTTTGAAGTAGTAGTCACCCTGATTAGGGATTCCTACTACCAATCGGGGGCGCACCCGTTCTTTCGCCTGAATTTTGAGGTCAAATCTGACTGACCCCAATTCAGGTTCCTCATCGTCCTGTTCTGTCGGGTAGTTTTTCACCGCTGCTCCGAAAGTTTTCTCGATTGCGTTTTGCAGTGTTGACATCAACTGCAAAGGGACCCTAGGACAACGAACCCAGAAAATCTTTGGGGTAGTGTCCTTGAATTCTCTCATCTCCAAAAAGGTCATCCAAGGCAAAAAGGCAACGCGATATTCCTTCCCTTCTAGGACGATCACATCCGATTCCTTGTGCAACATCCATTCTATTACACTGGTCTGGGAAGAAACAAAAGAGCATAGATTCTTCCCTTCGCTCTGATAACGACCCCTCGTGATTCCTTCATCCAAAAGACCAGAATCATACCACGCGTTTTCATATATTCTCACCAACTTCTTTTTCAAACTGTTGGAGAGAACAGCTGCATCGTTTAAAAATTGGACCGTGACTGCGTGTTTTATCAACCATTCGACATTCTGGTTGGAGAATTCTTCATTAAGGTCAAATCGGGCTATCTCATCCGTCACTTCTGCTACCCCGACGTCAAGACCTGCCGGCATAATCCCATCCCTAAAGCATAACTCTAGGAGAGAGTTGATTTGCTCTTTTTCCTCCTCCGTATAGATCTTCGTCATTTCCTCCTCATACTGTTCATTTCTATCATCCTGCCCTTGACCCTCCTCCATGGTCGTCAGCTGTTGATAAATATTTCAGCGCAAGGGAAAAATTACTCTAATTATTCTTACTGTTAGTATTGAGGCTTCTTAATAACTTAGAATAACAGTTTTTCTCCCTGAGAATCAAGCATAAAGGCGCTTTGGCGGAAGGCAGAGAATACCATTGTTGTTGATCCTCGTCTTCGATACCTTGTCTCCCGATACGGGAGTCCAACTGGTCAACTGCTCTTCATTGGGACGTTCCTGGTAGCTCGTAGCATATGGAAGGTTGGGCAGGGGGCCGGGCCACTAGCAGGTGATAGGCTCGACACCATAAGGCGCCGTGTCCTTTCTAGGTGAAAGGTAGCCTTCGTGCCTTACCGCCATAGCATAACCATGGCGGTCAAGCGGCACGACATAATCATAGAAAATGCCGAAGAAACATAGCGTCGTGTCAGCCGCAGCGAGTTGCGCGTTAGCGCTAACCACGGCGGCGCCCCGGTCCCCCCCGGCCGCCAGTTTTCGGATGTCGCCTGCCTCGTTTCTGGAGACCACCTGTGTCCAAAAACGAGCAAGGTACCTGTTTCAACAGGTGCTTGCTTTTTTTTTTTTTTTTTTTTTTTGGGTTGTTTGTTGCCTTTGGCCTCTCGTACGTGTGTCACAGTGTGTTTCCGCATGCACGGCCTGAACCAGAAGGACATCTTACAGCCCGTTTTTCTTTTCCGTTGGGCCCATGGGCTTCCTACCCCCGTCGCTCTTCCAGGCCTTCCCCGAGCCCGGGAATTTTCTTGTGGCGACGAGTTCATTTTTCTGCAAGGCTGGGGCCGTGTACTGGTGCTCGGAGGTTTCTGTTCACACTCTTCTCCCGTTCAGAGGCATGTAGGTGACTGCTTCCTATGGCCCAGGCACTTCTGGACAGTCAGTGGGAAGGGAGGACGTACTCAGGGCAGTGGTCGCTCGCCGATTCTGTTTGGATAAGGGTAGGACAGTTTGTGACTTGACGCATGTTCCACTAATTATAGTCTATAAGACAGGTTTGTTGTGGATCCCTCTAACCTACTATTGTAGCACTATACATGATGGGCAGTGCCATGATTCTGGGACTGTATGATATGGACTGGAAAGCGATAATGAGGGATAGGGATTGTGGAATGGCTAAGGGTCATACGGACCAGTAAGGGATAATGAGGGATAGGGATTGGGGAATAGCTAAGGGAGGTCAGTCTCTAAGTAGGGGAATAGGGAGAAGGAGAGACTTTTCAAGCCTGGACCAGTGGGGAGAAGGATAGGATAAGTCTGGACCTACATACTTTTATGTGGTTTTATGAGTGTGCTGGATAACCAGAACTAAGAATTCGCCGTAGATAGACCAGGCTAACCGACCGGACGTCCGGACCGGGTTCCAGACAGTCCAGAAAAACATGTTCGGTGTCCGGTGTCCGGTGTCCGGTCCTTATGTCCGGATGGAGGCCCCCAGGGCAAAAATCGAAAAAAATAAAGGGGCGGCGCAGGCCGTTTTCCGGGTCCTGGCCGCCTGTTACATGCTGAGCCTGCACACGGGCCCCATTTCAGGGACCCGATGGTTGCTGAGGTGCCCCCAGGCCGCGTGCCCATCGGACACGCGCCCTGGAGGCCCACGGTGCCCCCGAGGCTGCAGGTTTCGATTACAGGCAGCATTTATTTATTTATTTATTTATTTACTTACTTATTTGCTGTCCTATTTTTGTCTGTGCGGACGTCGTTTCGGACTTGCAGGGCCCAAGGCTACGCCTTGGGCTGGGTACACAGGAGCAAGGTCGTTTTTAGGCCAGGCGCATTTTTGCGCCTTGCTGCATCAGCAGCATGGTCTGGACACCGGTAGGGGCCCAGACCGAGTGGGTCGTTTGAGGCCAGCATCAGAGGCGCGCCCAGCCAGGTTAAGCGCTACTTATAGCTGGGCAGCAGCTGGGCACACACACAGTTCGAGTAGCTCACTTCTTGGGCGACACGCTGCTGGAGCAGTGCGCGACACAGCGCTGTGTTGGAGTTAGAGATAGAGGAGTAGGTAGGGAGACAGGGTGGAGGCCATACCTGCAGCGTTCGAGTACGTACCTGGGCGCCATAGCTGGACTTGGCTCCAGCGACCTGCAGCACAGCGTACGCCGGCGACATCAGTAAAGAATAAAGAATAGAGTCCGGCAAAGACAATGTGAGCATGAGGACGGAGACAGAAAGATACACGCAAGTTGCAAAGTCTCGGCACGCACGCAAAGAGTATTGGGAACAAGTAATCCTCTCAGAATTACAAGATAACCAGCGCATACGGCAAACCCTCGACGCGTTTCGTCTGCGCCGTGACACAGACTCTTCAGGAGGAAGATCGCAACACTAAGCATGGGGCCATACCTCGTGCCTTGCCCCATTATATAGCTATCCTACACCCATCCTGGTATGTAAATCTGCTACCCAAAGTCGACCCAAGCCCCGATCCGAAAAGAAGGCATCACAACGGTGCAAATCGCGTGGTAGGAGAATCCGAAGAAACCGAAACATGAGAGTACTCAGCAGCGCCATCAGGAGGCAATCTGGGTCACCTGCAACCAAAGACAATTACACAAAGCAGACAAACACACACGAGAAAGCCGACAGGAATCGCACACCCAATCGCATCAGCTCAGCATGAAGGTGCTCTGTCCAGACGAAGCAATCAGTCGAGCTGGACTGGAGATGGCAGCGCTGGCAGCACGGCGTCGGCAATGGAAACTGAAACCATTCCGGAAAGTGCACGTCGAAAGTACAAACAAAAGAGTAGCAGCGTTACGGCCTCCTGCCGGCGTACACGGTCCTCGCATAGGACCAGACCGACGTGCGTGCCCAGTATATACCAGAACCCTAGGCGCACATCAGAAGAGTCCTTGGAGGCGAGCGTACCCTTGAAACTGTCTCCAAAAAACCAACGGGCTACCCTGCATTGAAAAGACGGCGTAACAAACCCTGAAACTCGACCCGATACACAGGTCCAGATGCTCAGGAGTGAAAAAGGTCGTGAGATACATTAGGAGAAATGTCAAAGGTAGGAATGCCCCAGCGGGGGTCGAACTCCCTCAGAGGAGGTCCCCGGGTAGCCAGCGCCAAAGGGTCTGCTCAGGGAGTGTGGTTCCGCATGGTACTCAGGCCCAGGGGATACCAAAACCACAAACAGAAAAAGGGGAGCCTAGGCACGGAAGGCTTGCTTGCCAAATGTCCAGGCCCCATTTGCACCTTCATCGGATAAAAATCCCCCATCAACACGAGAATTAGTGTACAATTAAAGATAGCACCTCAGCCGCCTCCGGTCCAAGCTTATCACCGAATCGCCGGAAGGTGGAGAGCACCAGCCTCAAAGGGTAACCCCTGAGAAGCAATTCCCTTAACTGCCAAGATTGTCTCCCGCTGTCCCCAGTGATCCCTGGTGAGTACTCAGGATAGCGCTTACCGTAGCTCTCTTGCATGAGTACGAATTGAAGTCCTGGAAACTACCGAAAACCAAGCTACCAGTATCCCGAATACAGGCTGTGTTCTTGACGATCGCAACTGTGCAAAGGGTAAAGCCATGCCTGTAAACATCCATCCCACCAAATGTCCAGTGTTCCGAGCCATCATCTGTCCTCACAAGACGGGGTACCTTACCGTAGCAATTTTGAAAATCGTCCAAAATACGCTTAGCGTATACCACACCATTGCACCCTGCTACCGGAATGAATATGGTAACATCGTCGATGATCCTAAAACCTTCAATCAGACAGCGATCTTGACCTAGAGAGGAAAGAAATTTCCATTCAGAGAAAGTGAGTAAGATACATACAAGGGACAGCTAGAAGATTTGCCCATTGGCACCCCTATTACCTGCCTGAGAAGCTGGCCTCCCGAAAAGATGAAGGCAAAAGCCAAGTCGACACGTACCATATCACGCATTGATGAAAGAGTAACCATAATGCATTCATCACATGAGCCACCATAAGACAGCCATGCCTTATGCCCTCTCTTTGCCACCTTGACCACCCGACACCCTTGTTTGCGAAAGTAGTCCAGGAACCAGTCGAACGCCACAATGATATCTTCATGCGGTAATGACACAACATATCTTTGATATCGAACGAGGCAATGAGGATATCATAGAGGTCAGGCAGGTTGTGAAACCGACAATCCATATCTCGGATGCCCGGTACAAAGTCCATAACAGCCTTGAGATTGAAGGATGTCCGGTAAGGCAGCACAAAAAGCAAAGCGTCCAGAGCCCGAGCGACATGTGCGCTTGCTACCCTGGTGGGTTCAGCACACGTAGGTCAAATGGGACGCCATCTGGTAAGATCTTTGTGTTTAGGGAGCACGTACGCATTCCCAAACGTACCCGCTGGGTCCCACTTACCCAAAGCAGTAAGCCCCCTCTCCTCAAAGATATTTCTCATGTCCTTCATCAGAAGACCATCATCAATCCTCATAGGCTGAAAGGATAAACTCCAGTTAAAAGTCATGAACAGGTAATGGCGGTAAATAACCGGACAAACAATTAAGGTATCAGCCACATTTCGATCTATTGGCACACAGACAAACATCTTCAATCTGTCGTACCAAGAGGAAAGATCTTGGATGTGAAGGATGTCCTCAGAGTCAAGGGAAGTCCAACAGAAGGAGATTTAGAAACCACTAAATCAGACCTTAGATAGCTAGCGACCGATACCAGTTGCTTACCTAAATCCGTAGACCTATGCTTGGGCAAAATACGAGGAATATTCCGGGAGTTCCTCAAGATGTTCGGAATCCCAGGTATCAGCCCAATAAGTGTACATACATGACCAGGTCATTGCACCAGGTCTGAATTCTTGCGAAAGCGCAAACACTGAGCGCTAGCGCCGGTCCGGTTAGCGCAAACACCGAGCGCTAAATCTCGCCACCGCGCCAAGGGAAATTTTTTCCTCCACGCGGAAACACGAGCCGCGCGCAAACATCGCCACACTTCGAATTCGAAAGTAGCACCTTGAAGGCGGGAAACAGGGGGGGCGTTTTCGTTCCACACCTCGCCACGCCCTCGGGCGTGGCTACTCGCAATCAAGGAAACGACAAAAAGTGTCGGGGAGAGAGGGAGAAGGAGAGGGAAGGAAGGGAAGACCAACGATGTCTACGTGATCAACAAGAGATAGGGGATACTACTAAGAACAAGAAAGGACAACAGCGACGGAAGGCGAAGAGAAGAGGAGCACTCAATTTTCCCAGAGTACAGTGTAAAAAAGGGAGGAGACGGGGAGTCGCATCTAATTTTGAGTAAAGACAAAAGAGGAGACTCCCACCCTTGGGGATCAAGTCCGTACGGGAAGATAGTGGGAAAAGGTAAAAGACAAGGAGGAAGAAGGACAAATCGGGCCACACTCACGGACGAGGCCGGGCTCAAATTCAAGAAAGAGACAAGAGGAGGTGAAAGAGAAAAGGAGAG